TGAATTTTCATCGATGTTAAGCCTAACAAATTTTTTAAAAATAATAATCGTCGCTATTGTATTGTTAAAAATTATTTTTAAATTATTTTATTGCTCACAAAACAAACAACCACTCATAATTAGAAAATTAAGTCTCATTTAAATACTGGCCTCTCTTTCATGGTCAAGCCATGTTGCCAGCTAAAACATGCAAAAATTTAACAAAAATAATATTAAAGTAGCCAAGACATAGCCAAATATTGTAGTGCCACATCACTAGCAGACATTAAATTTGCCGACTAGAACGGTCGGTTAACTGATGTGACGGTTAATAGGGGGTCGGATAATTGATGCTCTACTGTAATGTAAAGTCTACTAAAAAATTAATTATTGAATAATTTTCATACTGAGATTACTACATCTTTAATACTCCTACTAAATGTAAGAGTATTAAATCCTGATTTTCAGATCATATTTTGCAATGTCATGCAATACAAATGTTATTTATAAAAAAACTAAGGTATTGCCTTGAATGCCCAGATGCTTTACATCATGACATTGGTGAAAAGTTCATTTATGATTAAAATTCAGTTAAAAGATACAAAGATATGAAGGTATTCAAGAGACTAAATTATGGTTGTAATATTTTTACTTTCCTATAAGTTTTGATATGATTACTGACAAATTTCTTTATTAATAATCATATTCAATAAAATATATTCAAAAATTCTTATGAGATATTTAAATCATAGATATTAATAAAATGATACTTTTTTCCTTAATTGTTAATGCTCTTTTATTTGATTAATAAAATCAGTTAGCCACTTGAATAAAAATTTACAAATTTAAATTAGAATGTAATATGATTTGAAAAAATCAGACAATATGTCAAACAATTTAATTCATCATAATGGTGACAATATCCTTGGCAATGAATTATTACATCTTTATCACTGCTTTCTGTTTTATTTCACTGTTCCACTAAAAACTGTCAGACAAATTTATTATTAATTATTGTTTTAAAAAGTATAAAAATAAGAAAATTAACAAGTATATATACTACCAATTAGAAAGTACAGACTATGTACGAAAAATTTTTTTTTTTTTTTTTGAGTCTATCTAACAATCCATTAACACATAACATTTTCGTACATAGTCTGAACTTTCTAATTGGAAGAATATATCCTGAGTTCACCATGAAATTGTCTATATGCAAATGTAAGGATGACTCGTATCAACCACCAGGGGGCTTGAACCTGATAAAATTGGATAACTACTTGATGGTAGTGTGAGAAGACCTGTTGTTTTTAATGTAAAAGACGTCAGAACCTCAAATAAAAGGCTGACGTTTTGATCATTTTTAATATTGTGAGTTTTTTACCTATTCATTATTTGTTTTTATTGAAGTTTTTCTTCAACAATGTTACGGGTACTTCTGTGGTTGTGTTAATGGATTAGATAGACTCAAAAATTTAAAAAATTTTTCGTACATAGTCTGAACTTTCTAATTGGAAGAATATATCCTGAGTCCACCATGAAATTGTCTATATGCAAATGTAAGGATGACTCGTATCAACCACCAGGGGGCTTGAACCTGATAAAATTGGATAACTACTTGATGGTAGTGTGAGAAGACCTGTTGTTTTTAATGTAAAAGACGTCAGAACCTCAAATAAAAGGCTGACGTTTTGATCATTTTTAATATTGTGAGTTTTTTACCTATTCATTATTTGTTTTTATTGAAGTTTTTCTTCAACAATGTTACGGGTACTTCTGTGGTTGTGTTAATGGATTAGATAGACTCAAAAATTTAAAAAATTTTTCGTACATAGTCTGAACTTTCTAATTGGAAGAATATATCCTGAGTCCACCATGAAATTGTCTATATGCAAATGTAAGGATGACTCGTATCAACCACCAGGGGGCTTGAACCTGATAAAATTGGATAACTACTTGATGGTAGTGTGAGAAGACCTGTTGTTTTTAATGTAAAAGACGTCAGAACCTCAAATAAAAGGCTGACGTTTTGATCATGTTTAATATTGTGAGTTTTTTACCTATTCATTATTTGTTTTTATTGAAGTTTTTCTTCAACAATGTTACGGGTACTTCTGTGGTTGTGTTAATGGATTGTTAGATAGACTCAAAAATTAAAAATTAAAATTTTTCGTACATAGTCTGAACTTTCTAATTGGAAGAATATATCCTGAGTTCACCATGAAATTGAAGTATATATACTACTTTCGTCAAAGAAATTCAGATTAAATTTTAACCAAATTAGCCCAATTTCATAGAAAAAAATTGTGTATAGCTGTTAATTTTTCTTGGAAAAAAAAAAAAAATATATATATAAGGTTTATAATCTCATAATCTCATCAGTTATAAAACAAACTAATAAAATAAAAAAATACAAAAAAGTAAGATTCTGATTTTATCAGTAAATAATTTGTATCATTTCATGACACAAAATGTATTTTTAATGATTTAAAATAAATATATGTTTTATATACCTAAAGATTAAATAATTATATATAATATAAAAAAATATAAAAACAATAATTAATAGTAAAACAAAAGAAAAGTTGTAATTTAAAATAATGCAGAGAAAATTAATACTAGCAATTATCTTTTGAAGTTGGTAAATGATGCTTAAAATTGATTGTTTGAACAACATTAATGTCTTGCACAACATAAAATGAACAGCTCTTTCCAAATGATCATAAGTCACTTTCAATTGTGAATTCTCCTGAATATTATGATTGCCAGAATCCTGCAGACTTATGATTCTTTTGTAAACTAATTATTGGAAATTTTTTGCCATATATCTATAGATATCAAGCAGCCAATAAAACAAATTTTTTAAAAAGTAACTTACAGCTTTTTTGAAAAAGAGTTCTTCGAATATTTTATTTTTTGAGTTTTTGGATTTTTCTCTTAAAATACTCAAGGTCCTCTTTTGACTGCACTGTATTACTTTTCTATTAATCTATATCCACTCAAACATTTCATGTCATTCAGTGAGTGAGTCAAGATTAGTAAAACATTGTATTCAATATAAGTTTTTATGTCAATATATCTTTTCATAAATAGCCATAAATATATTACCTGAATGCCTTTTACTTATTGAAAAATCTTGTTTTAAACCTGAAAATTAAAAATTAAAGTTAATATTAAAATTATATTAAGCTTCAAATATTATTTACTTATAATAATAATATTTTAACATTATAATTCTTATTATCTGAAAATTTAACATAACGCTGAAAACTTTTTGTTTAGATTTAAACTAATTAAGTTAATTAAGCAATTCAAGAATTTCAATCATTTAAGTTTGTTGCCTACAGATAGTTACATTAATATAACTGAAATTACATTAAATTTAAATAGATTTTAAAAAATTCCACTCTGGAGTGAGATTTGAACCTGAAGCATAAACATTGTCAATACATTATTCTGATTTCAAGCTAAAGTTCTTCCAGTTATATAATTTATAATAAATATAAATTTCTTAAAATGATAAATAATCACAATGGTTATGGTTATTTATCATCAAAAGAAATTTAACTATGATTTAGTTGACATGTCTATCTAAAATTCAAATTCTCAAATCATTAACCAACTTAATTAGCTCAAATCTAACTTGGAAAATTTTTATGTAATATTTATTTAATATTTATATATCATTATATATAAATGTTAAATCTATATATATAAAAATGGACATGTATGTCCCTATATTTCACTTTTTCGCCAAAACTACACATCGCACGTGAATGGTGTTTGTATGTGGTGGTAGCCCCAAGTCTCCATTCGTGCATAGGGGTGGTTGCGTCTCGATAGCTATAAGGGTGCGGGAGATATGAGGCTGAAAGTAGTTGAAAGTGGCTTGCTATTTCGAATGTTTTGTTCGAATTTGTTCGAATTTAATTCGAACATAAAATTCGAATATTGGTTCGATTATAGAACGATTGTAAATGTTCCAGAAACGTAGAAAATAGTTTGTTTGACTAAGTGTAAAAATTCTCTAATTAGTCTGGAAACGGGGGGACCTAATTCTTGCATTCTGTGAAAACAGGTAAGATTAGCTATAATGTAATTATCTTAATCTTCACTATCGTTACTTTTTGCCCAGCGAAGCGGGTCCTTGCAGCTAGATTCTAGATTACTTAGAAAAACAGTCTTTTATATATAAAAGACTGTTTATATATATATAAAAAAAAACTATATTACATACGAATGTACGAACAAATAAAAACCCAGCGAAGCGGGTCCTTGCATCTAGTATTATATAAAATTTTAAATGAAACTGCAATGTTACGACGATCTAACAAAAAGTATTAAACACACAATAAAATCTTGATATTTTAAAAAATTATTTTGCTATCATTAAACAATAGCATAATTATAGTTGTTTCTGTTAATTTACAGGGTCATTTGTAAAATAAGGGTTGCTAAGAGTTGACTTCACCTAATAGTTATGCTGTACTACCCCTCTTAAGCCCTGGTCACACTATGCAATTTCTAGCCGCGCAGGTGGCCGCAACTGCAACAAGTGCAAGTCGCGCGCGTCTTCTCATGGTCACACATTGTTTGTTGATGTTGCAACTCGGAAACACGTGACCCTATAATAAACCAATAAAATTACAGTAGCTTGTTCTTGACTACTTTCGTGAGTTTGCCGACATTTTACGTTCTACTTCAGAGTATTTACGGAATTTTAGCCACTTTTCTTATTAAAATAGCAAGCATTTCATTTTCTGAAATGAATAAAAGAAAAATGGCGATTATTTTGATAGAACTGGCGAGAATACATGAAAAGATAAAAATCTTCGATAAAACAAAGAATTAAAATTCCACAGGTTCGTGAGCCTGAATAAGCTTGATCAATTTCGATTCTGTGAAAGTATTAATCCTCTAACTATCAGTCATGATGATGAACTATTTTCAACATTGTCACTATATGACGTAGCACAAAGGCATTTGTTGATTGGATGCGTGTTTGCAATTGTTGTGAGTAGAACAAACTTTTTGTTTCTAGTTGCGGTCGCAGTAGCGCCGGTTTTAGAGGGGGATCACTAGTTAACGGGAACAGCTATCGTGGTTGCAGTCGCCTGTGTGGCTGGAAATTGCATAGTGTGACCAGAGCTTTAGTTTGAAGGTAGACTTCTAACATATACACAATCTGTTGCAGATAAGTAAGTTTTCAAAAGGCATTCCTTAAAAATATGTACGTGTTATTGTTAAAATAAATATAACAAATATTGTTCAAAAGCAAAAAATTTTAAAATTGTGCAAATATAGCATTTTTACAGAAATAATCAGGTATTTCAATTTTTTATATCTCCTTTGTGCATACATTAAATGCAATACAAGATGACACTACAAATATTGTTAATAATTCTTTTTTAAACATAGGAAAATGTCCTTGTCATTAACTTCTAAAACATAAGAAAATGGTGGTACATTATACAATGCAAGAATGCATTAAGTTAATGTTTTTATTTAGTGAGAATAATTATTGTTAACAGGTCTCTACAGCTGTTTCCATAAGTTTTCATAATGACCAAACCCAAGTAAAGAAAGTATGTGAGAATTAGTTTGTATGTTCAGAGAGACTCATAATGTGGGCCAACAAAAGTACAAATAGAAAAGTCTGCATCTAGGCTGGAAAAGACAACAGATATCTTAAGCTGTTTTTCCATGATCCTCATGTGTCAATAAGAGAAAGAAAGGACACATATGGATATTCCCAGTTGTTACTTCAAAGAATTCTGAAGAGGAACAAGATCATCCCTCATAAGTGTAAAGATGGACAGTTTTTACTTGAAAATGAATCACAAAATACAGAACAGTTTTGCAGCAAGTTTATGAACTTTCAACTTCAAATTCTTGATTTAATGTATATAATAAACATTGATGATGATCACTTTCCATCTTTTCAAAACTATAAACAGCTAGAACAGTTGATACTGGTCTAAAAACAATCCACATTAGCTATGCATAAATTGTCAAAACATGATCCTTGACTGAATGCAAGGTAAAGTATTTACTAATGCAGAATAAGATCTTACTTCTTACCAAGACAATTAAATGGAATTGAATATGTTCAGTATCTAAGTGATATGCATTTGCCATTTTTCAATAACACTAAACAACAAAAAAAATGTTTTTGAATGTTTCCTTTATTTAATGAGTGAAATCTTACTAATTTTGGGGTGAGAAAATTGAATATGACAAAGAAAAATTTTTATTAGCTCTAGTTTCTGTGGTATACAATAAGTGATTTTAACAGCATAAGAGAAAACAATACATTTTAATTACATATGCTAACAACATTGAAAGTGCTTTTGAAGTTTTTTTGAAGAGAATCATGTGGTGACTTCATGAGATCATTTTCTTTTGGCTTGTCTCTTGTAAGTGAATTCTGGTGCATCCCTACACACAGACCAGCAGTAATCTGCAAGTATTGCTTCATTCCAATTTCTTCATTCAAGATATTTTTGTTCCAATACAGAAATATCCTGGTGGAATCTTTCTCCATGTTCATCACTGACAGCTCCACAACTAGGAGGGTAAAAGTCTAGGTGGGAATGGAGAAAATGGATTTTGAGGGACATGTTGCAACTAGGACAACTAGGAGGGAAAAAGTCTAGGTGGGAATGGAGAAAATGGATTTTGAGGGACATGTTGCATTCGAGTTGATGATATTTTTCCAGAAGTATTGTCACCGAGTGTAGTTATTGTCTCTTTTGTTGCTTAAGAATCCATGAATAACTTTCTTTAAGGCTTCCCAAGCTTCCTTTTCTTTTCCCTCCAAAACTTGGTATACGTGGGATCCTTTACAAGTTTTTGAATTTGTGGCCCAACAAAAATACCTTCCTTAACCTTTGCATCACTAAATCTAGAAATTTTGTCTCTTAAGTACTTAAATGCCTGTCCTTTCTGGTTCATACCTTCGACAAAAGTTTTCATTAAACCCAGCTTGATATGAAGGGGAGGAAGAAGAACATCTTTTCGGTCCATGAGAAGCTTGGCAACGATATTTTTCTTGGTAGAGTAAAGATTTCTTGCAGGCCAGTCCGCTTGAATGCAATGTGATTTCCTATCCTTACTGTCCCACATACATAAAAACCAACAGTATTTAGTGTGCCCCAGTTGCATTCCTAAGAGTACAGCAATGACTTTTAGATTGCCACATATTTTCCACTTGTGCTCAGCATAATTGATTGAGTCAAGGAGGGCTGTCATGTTTGCATGAAAAAAAGAGCAGACGAGTCGCGACACCGTTAGGACGTGCTTCACCTCGCTCCAGCTTTCGATCGTCGCATCGGCTTAATTATTGATCAATCGGTTGAATATTATATATCGTTGAGTTCGTCTCACGGTAAGCTATCGTTTAATATAAATTTTATTTGGATCGGTCCAGCCGCTCGGGAATTACGGGCTCCGGAAGTTTCATTATTTCCGGCCACTTTTTCCGGGCGATTTCCGGGGAGAAATCTTAATTCGTTATATCAAATTACTCGGCTGTTTAAAAGCTGTATAACGGCGTTTACAGTTTTTCATTACGATTCTCCGTTCTCCAGTTATCCCGACTGATAGTCACGTGACCGCGGGCCAACGTGCGGGCTTATCGGGCCACCGATCTTGCCCATATCAGGGTACTTCTTTGGGTACCTAATTGTCTATCTGTCACGTTATATTCATTCGGCTACATTTAGTAGTTTAGCCGCTACGGCTGTTTTAGTTTTTTTTTTTACTCGAACAAAGGGGTGAAAGGTCATTGACCTCACCACGTGGTTGAACCTAGCACTCTATCTGACCCTAATTCGGGTCTCTCCCGCCCGGTTTTTCGGGTTGCGTTGGTCATACACCCACGAGCCTTACACCGTTCGATCCATAAAATCCAGTGTATTTTGGCAAAGTGTATTTGTGTAGTGATAATCATGGAAGAGACTACAGATTGTGTTTTATCAAATAACAGCTACGCTGAGGAGGACTTAATAGCTAATATCAATTCGCAACTTGAAATCATCGTTTCTAGCATACCTGCGAATACCAATGTGTCTGTGAAGAGTAAAGAAAGGGCTGCTGTCAAGGAAGCGGCCATCAGAATGCACGCGGCGGCCAACCAGATATTTGGC